TTGGAATGGTTTGGGTTGGGAGTTGGGGGCTGCTGGCAGGAGCACAGATGAGTTCGGCGAGTGCTTTCGCAGCTTGCAGGCGTGGCTGGGGCGTACTCGGGCTGCCGCTGCTTCTAGGAGCGACTCGGTGAAAGCCGGGCTGGATCATAATAGCAATTAGCAGGTACTCCACTGCCAAACACGCACCTTGTTTCATAGCATCTGTTAGATTTTTCAGCGTTCATGCGTTTGGGTTACACATGAGCAATCTATAATGGGCTTTTTTTTTTTTTTTTGGTTTTGGTACTAAACTTGTCTTGGCCTCTGAAGAATCATATTAATTTTGCTGTTTGCAATGCTGGCTACCTTAATCACAGTAGAAAATTTGCATTCAGAAAGGATGGAAGTAACCTGGGGTCCCATGCACACTGAGCTACAGGCTAAAGAAGTTTTTGTGTGTAGGGATTAGGCCAAGGAGGGTTTAATACATTCTTTCTATTGCTGTGTGGACTCAGGAGAGGCAGGTTGCTTCCCTTTTGGTGCCATGTCTGGCACTGGGCTACTTTTAGCTATGTGTTGGAGGTTGATTTGACCCTTTGTATTTACTGTTCCTTTAGGTTTAGTGCCACAGTAGCACAAGCCATAGTTTTGCAAATTTGCATTTTTTGGTTCTTTTTCAGAAAAGCAGATAATAAGAAACTTTTCTATAGATTTTCGTGATGGGCTAAATCTACTAGCTATTGCTGGAAAATATTCAGATCAAGTATTTAAGCTGAAGTAAGGAAAGAGAAGACAGGTCTTTGAAATACAGTTTTCAGTGTCCAGCAAAACTCCAGTGTGCTTATCATCTGCAAGTCAGCCTGGCTCTTTACTGCTGAACAATAAAACAGTTCCTTTGAAGAACACTGGGATGTTGTCTCCAAACAGTAGCAGGATTAGTCTTGTAATGTTTACTTTATTCAGACTCCATGGAGCTCCATCACTTGCCATTATTGGGCTTATTTTCTGAGAATGACCACGGCTGTCGTCTCACCTTTGTATTAAACAAGAGTATTTGCCCAAAAACTGAGGATCAAGAATAAAGCTGTCAAGCGTGGAAGTTCTTATAGTTTGAGAAACCCACAATAATTTATTGTTGTTTAGACAATTATTCTATCACCTGGTGACCCCTCCCCCCCAGGAAGGGGAATCAGGGGGAAAAAAGAAGGAAACCCGAGGGTTGCCATGTAAACAGGCTTAGTAGAATAAGACTAGATAATTAACGTTAATAATACTAAAGAACCAATATTGATCCTGATACCAATATAAAGTATACAAGAATTATACTCAGCCAGTTCTATCGGTAAGAAGCTGTGCGCTCCCAGCAGTGGAGAGCAAATGCCAGACACTGCGACGCTACAGCTTTGGGAGGAAGGGAAGGCCTCAGGGGTCCGGCACCAAGGCAAAAAGTTCTCAGGATCGCAGCCATCAAGGGAGAGAAAACTTCGCAAACAAACTTTCTAATTTATATTGAATATGACATTTATGGTATGAAATAATCCTGTTGGCCAGCTTGGGTCAAGTGCACAGGTCTCGCTCCTCCTCGTCCCTGCACCTGGCTAACTTGAAAAACACTAAGACCTTGAAAAACACATACCATAGCTGGATAGAAAGTAAATATTTTCACAAATTCAGACACTAGAGTCTTCAAAAAGTGCATTTTTTCCCAAGTATTAGAAGAGAAATTAGTTCTGTGACACTCAAACCAGGATGAAGCTTTATGGAATCTTTATGGAATCTGTCTTTAAGAACACCTATGTTCTTCCCATCTTCTGTCTCTTTAGCTGCTGCTTTTGTGTCTAAGGAAAGATCCCTGAGTGACCCAGGCCTGAGGGCTGTGTTCTCTGCTGGCTGATATGGCTCTCTGTCCACTCATGTCCCAGTCACTGCGGGAAGGGCCATCTTCTCTGCGACAGGAGTGGAGATGGCTCCCACTGACTCCCCTGCAGGAGCTGGTCAGACACCAAAAGCCTTGGCACAGTGCCTCTAATGGTTTCACCTGCAGTGTGAATGGTCATGTAAACAAGGAGGTATTTTCTCCCCATGCAAACCTTTTGCATTCTCAAAGGCTGTGATAAATTGCCAGGCAGAGAGGAACATGGGGCACAAAGGAATTGTGTCCAAACTAACCTAATTGTATTATGAGCATTCAAGCTTCAGCTCGCTGTAAGAGCCATCATTTGCTGCTCAGAGCTACTTAGTGCTTTGTTGTTTGGATTCTGTTTCAAACAGACGTCTGGGCACCTCTAGACTGGCACCCCAAAATTCAAGTGGTTTGTCCTACAGGGCCATTAACAGGTAATGACCATGTACCAGGCAATAAAAGGGACCAGTTCCCGCAACAGATGTACGTGGGCCAACCTGTAATGGTGAAGCTACCCTCCGTTGGCATTGTACCCACGACCCTGGCAAAACCCAGAGGCTCATTTGCCTGGAAGCCCTGGGTGGGAGCAGAAAAACATCACCATACTAGTACTTGGTGGATAATCCCTGACTTCTAACCCCGAATCCTGTGTTCAAAGCCTGAGGCCAGCTCTGGGTTTTCTTACAGGACAATGGAAAAGCAGACTGCTTTGGTGCTGGTACTGGCAATGGTGATAGCGATCAATGGAAACGACCAGGACCTGGATGACAATATGGTAGCAAAAATGATAGTAGGATTTGCCCAAATGATGAGCTTAACCTCTGTAATGGTGTGCCTACCCACACCCAAGTCAGCAGGAGACCCTTTGCCAACCTTTGTGAAGGATGTTAACATGTCTCTGGCTCTTGAGCTTACATGGAAACAGTATAATAGCTATAGCTGGGAGGGCAAGAGATCTGGAATGTACATGGTTAGCTGGTCATCTGACATGATAAATACTGGCTCAGTATGGGCCACAAAATGTAATTATACTTCCCTATCCACCAAGTTGACCACAGGTGGAGTGTAAAGGGTGTTGATCCATGCTCCAGTATTCCGTGGGGATCTACTGAATGTAATACTCGATGGTGTTAGATGCTCTTTGTCATTGTTTTTGTACTCCCAGGGCCTGTCGGCAGCATGAATGCTCTTTGCAATAACCCACGCCAGAGCACCTGTGACTACATTAGGCAGGTGATGCAGTTTCCTGCTGCTTTCAGGTTCTTCTGCTGACAAGGGAAACATTCCTAACCAGAGAAAAGAAGTACTCCCTGTTCATGAGGAAGGGAAAAAAGCTATGAGTGTGGATTTTTTTTTCTCATGGAAAATTTCAACAAGATTAGAGAAGGTACATTTCCTGACTGCTCCCTCCCCCCCAAGACTGTACCAACAATGCTCCATGTGCCACACCAAGCTCCGACTTGCATTAATGCCTTTGCCAAAATTGGATGACTACATCATTTGCAAACTGAGTAACTCTCCCAAATCCTCCCAGGACAACATGTTGAACATAGACCTTTCAGTCCAGAGAATGGACATGCTCTCCATTCTTCAGGGTTTTTCCCATTGAATCACTCTGTACCTTGTAGTTTAGTAACTATTATGAATTATAGTGTTATGCTTGCTCTAACATCTTCTTGCTGAAAAAAAACCTTTTTTCTCTGCATATGTCCTAGGGAGGGAGGAGAACATGGTGAGAGACCCTGCTCATAGACCCAGCATGCCATGGTCTCCCTACAGCTCACTAAGGGGGCCATAATACAGCACGGCCTACAGCGAGAAACCTTAAAAGTGAGCAAAAGCAAAAAAAAAAAAGGGCATTGGGTGTATGGAGAGGGAAGAGAATAAATCATCACTCGGAAGGTCTGGAAACACACAGTAACATTATTGATAGAGCAGAAAAATCCTCGTGAAGATTCTTACAGAAGGACAGAGCTCCAAGGTACATTGAAAATTAGGAGTAAAAGATTAACTTTGACAAGAAAGGAGAGCAGAGAGAGGTGAGAAATTTTTTGAGAGGTGAGGATTTGAAGAAAATATGGGTGACAAACAGGTTTTGGTTTTGGTTGGTTTTTTTTTTCCATTGGTCTGTTGTGGTTTATTTTTTTGGGGTTTTTTTGTTTGTTTTTAAGAAAAAGAGAACTGTTTTTGTTGTCTGTTGAAATACAGAAGTGGGGGAACAGCTGGACTATTCCCCTTCAGATCTGGGCTGGGAATTACAAAGCTGCTCCTCGCTGACAACAGGAGATGTAAATAGCTGGATGTTGTATTGTTGTCGGTTTTTTTTGACAACATTAATTACAACATCTTCTGGGGAACAGAATTACTTCACTGCAGACTGCCTTAACTAACAAGCGCACGCTCCTAGTTGCCGCGTGTAAAAGGCTGCCAAGCAAAGCTCCTATGCTGAAACGCATTTGTTGAGTACTTTCAATCATTTCTACCAATTAATTGCCATTAAATAGGAGCACTCAGGCCCAATTAATCGTCACGCAGTTGAGCAGTTTTACCAACACGGCGAAGGACAGCTGGCGGCGGAGGGATATATCCCCCGCTTCCGGGTTGCGGGGCCGGCTATTCCCGTTGCGCATGCGCCTGGAGCGCCTGACGGGGCGGGGAAGGACTAACACACCAGCCTTCAACCCCAGGCGGCACGGGATTGGCTGGGAAGTCCAGCGCCAGTGTTCTATTGGGCGTCTGGAGCGGGTGGGCAGGGACAGTCGGCTCGCTGCTTCTCATTGGCCTGGCGCCGTGCCCGTTCTGCAGGCTCCAGGCG